TGTTTCAATTTTTGATTTCTCAATTTTTTTCCCACTTTTCAGTTTTAGGATTTTTCAATATTTCGATTCTTCAATTTTTCGATTTTTGGATTTCGCGATTTTTAAATTTTAGATTTTTCAGTTTTTAAATTTATGAATTTTTTTCATTTTTCGAGTCCTTGAGTTTACAATTTTTGGATAGTTTAATTTTTTTTTAATTTGCCGTGAACAAAGTGGGCGGAGCTTAACTGCAAAATACTTTTTTCTTTGCAACAAATTAAAAACATGTTTTTGAGTATCGTATAGTTCAAAGAATACTATGTACATTAAAAAAAAGGCAAAATATCAACTCCGCCCACCCGCCCTATCTCAATTGTGATGATTTTTTTTATTCTTAGAAACTTAAAAGACGTTTAAAATGGTAAATTTTTGAAATGAAACAAGGATTTTGCAATTAAACTCCTTCCCTAGGTATGTCAACGATTTTCAATTTTTGTTATTACAATTTTAGGATTTTTCAATTTTTCGACCCTTCAAATTTTCGATTTCTCAATTTTTTTCATTTTTCCATTTTTCGATTTTTCTATGCTTCATTTACCAATTTCTCAATTTTTGATTCTTCAATTTTTCGATTTGTCAGTTTCCCGAATAATCGATTTTCCTTTCCCAACTTTTTTTTAAATTTTCGATTTTTTGACCTTTCGATTTCTCGATTTTTCCATTTTTTCGATGTTTCAGTTTTAGTTTTTCAGTTTTTCGATTGTTCAATTTTTCCTCCATTTTTCAATTTTTCGGTATTTCAGCTTTGGGATTTTTCAAAATGTCGATTCTTCACATTTTCGATTTTTTTGACGATTCGATTTTTCGATCCCTCGATTTTGTAATTTTTCGATTTCCTGATGTTTCGTGATTTCAGTTTTGGAATTTTTCAATTTCTTCATTTTTCAGTTTTTCGATTTTCAATTTTCCGATTTTTTAAATTTTGGATTTTCGATTTATGAATTTTTCAATTTTTCGATTTCTTGACATATCGGTTTTTCTATTTTGAATTTTCGGTTTTCTGAGTTTTTCAAATTTTAGATTTGATCTTTTCGATTTTTCATTTTTCGATATTTTATTTTTAAATTTTACGATTTTTTGATGTTTCGATTTCTTGACATCTCGGTTTTTCGAATATTAATATTCTTCGACTTCTCGATTTTTCGACATTTCATTTTGGCAATTCTTCAAATTCTAGATATTTCAATTTTTAACATTTTAATTTTTCAATTTTTTACTGTTTCAATTGCTCGATCTTTCAATTTTCGACTTCTCAGAGTTCGATTTCCGATTTTTAAAATTTTTTATTTTTCGATTTTTTAAATTTCTTGATTTCTCAATATTCCAATTTTTCGATTGTTCGATTCGTCAACATATAGTTCGATTTTTCAGTTTTTCGATTCTTCAATTTTCCGATTTTTTAAATTTTGGATTTTCGATTTATGAATTTTTCAATTTTTCGATTTCTTGACATATCGGTTTTTCTATTTTGAAAATTTTTTGACTTTTCGACTTTTAAATTTCTCAAATTTTCAAGTTTTGGATTTTTCAATTTTTCAAGATTTCAATTTCGAAAATTTTTCAATCTCTAAATTTTTTGAAATTTCGATTACTGGATTTTTTGACGTTTCGATTTTTCGATCTCTCGATTTATTGATGTTTTTTAAATTTTAGAATTTTCAGTTTGTTGATGTTTCAATTTAACAATCTTTCAATTTTTCGACTTCTCGGTTTTAGATTTTTCGACTTCTAGATTTCTCGAATTTTCAATTTTTGATTTCTCAATTTTTCCATATCTTAGTTTTGTTTTTTTTTTTAATTTTTCCATTCTCCCCTAGGTCTGCCAACGATTTTCAATTTTCGATATTATAATTTTAGAATTTTTCAATTTTTCGACACTTCAATTTACGATTTCTCAATTTTTTTCATTTTTCCATTTTTCGATGTTCCGATGCTTCAATTTTAGGATTTTTCATTTTTGATTCTTCAATTTTTCGGTTTCTCAGTTTCCCGAATAATTGATTTTTCTTTCCCGACTTTTATTAAATTTTCGATTTTTTGACTTTTCGATTTCTCGATTTTTCAGTTTTGGTTTTTTAACTTTCCGATTCTTCAATTTTTCTTCCATTTTTCAATTTTTCAGCATTTCAGCTTTGGAATTTTTCAAAATGTCAATTATTCAATTTTTCGATTTTTTTGACGTTTCGGTTTTGTAATTTTTCGATTTCCTGATGTTTCGTGATTTCAGTTTTGGAATTTTTCAATGTCTTGATTTTTCAGTTTTTTGATTTTCAATTTTTTTAATTTTGGATTTTTAAATTTTGGTTTTGATTCATGTTTCGATATTTTAATTTTTACATTTTACGATTTTTTAATGTTTCGATTTCTTGACATCTCGGTTTTTCGATTTTTAATATTCTTCGACTTTTCGATTTTTAAATTTCTCAATTTTTCGACATTTCATTTTGGGAATTTTTCAAATTCTGGATTTTTTAATTTTTCAATTTTTTACTGCTTCAATTTTAAATTTTTGATTTTTCGATTTTTCAGTTTTTAAAATTTTTTGATTTCTCAATTTCTCGATATTCCAATTTTACGATTGTTCGATTTCTCAACATAGATTTCGAATTCTCAGTTTCTCAATTCTTCAATTTTCCGATATTTTAAATTTTGGACTTTCGATTTAAGAACTTCTCAATTTTTCGATTTCTTGACATCTCGGTTTTTCGATTTTCAAAATTTTTCGACTTTTCAATTTCTCAAATTTGCAAGTTTTGGACTTCCCAACTTTTCGAGTTTAAAAATTTTTCAATTTCTGAATTTTTTGATATTTCGATTATTCGATCTTTCGATTTTTAATTTTTCGATTTATTGATGTTTCTGTTTCTCAATGCTTCGATTTTTTTCAATTTTAGAGAAAATTTTCAATTTGTTGATGTTTCAATTTACCGATCTTTCAATTTTTCAACTTCTCGGTTTAGGATTTTTCGCCTTTTAGATTTCTCGAATTTTCAATTTTTGATTTCTCAATCTTTCCATGTTTCAGTTTTGGCTTTTTTTTAATTTTTCCATTCAATTTTGTCCCCATTTTTCAATTTATAGATATTTCAGTTTTGGGATTTTTCAATATTTCTATTCTTCAATTTTTGAATTTCTCGGTTTTTTACTTTTTTGATTTTTAAATTTTAGATTTTTGAGTTTTACAATTTATCGATTTTTCATGTTTGGAGTCCTTGGTTTTTCAATTTTTCGAAATTTTATTTAATTTTACATAATAGTTTCTTGGGGAGAAAAAAAAATCATCACAATTGAGATAGGGCGGGTGGGCGGGGTTTATATTTTGCCTATACGTAGTCGTCTTTTCAGGACAAGAAACTAAAACATGTTTAAAATGGTAAATTCTTCTAAAGAAATATGGATCTTGCAATTAAGCCCCGCCCCTCGATCTGACAACGAATGAAAAATTCATCACAATTGAGAATTGAGATTGGGACGGGTGTGGGTGGGGCCTAATCTTTGTCTTTATTTTTCTTAATATACACGGTATTCTTCGAACAATACTCAAAAAGTTTTGCAGTTAAGCTCCGCCCCCTTGGCTCACGACGAATAAAAAAAATCATCACAATTGAGATAGGCGGGTGGGTGGGGCTTACATTTTGCCTTCATTTTCTTAATATACGTAATCATTTTTCCACAACAAAAACTTAAAACATTTTGAAAATGGTAATCAACCTAAATCCACTACGTTAATATTGTTAAGTGCGGTCATTTTAAGACATTCAAATGAGACCTTTTAAAGTCAAGTGCAGCAAGGGCAGCGTTTCCGCTGCCGATATTGAATGCACACTTCATTGCATAGTGGACGTCAGAACCTATAAAGTTACGTATTTGAAACGAAAAAAGTAATAAATTTAAATCACAGTCTTTATCACTACTAATCCCCTTATCTTTATTAGTTTTTAAACATTCGCGTTTTTACATACTGCTTTAAAAACACAAACTTCGGTTTTTTAACAAATAAGAAACTCAATTTGTTGCTAATTCAATGCTTAATAAGTGAAAATAATATATCGCACAGCGGTGGATTTGAAACTAATTGTACACAAGAGAGATGAGTGGAAGGAGACGCTATTATTAAGAGAAAGAGAGAGTTGCGTACAACTTTCCAAATTTTGTAGGAAAAACCGCTACTGCAATTTCAAGAAACGTTTCAGATGATACATACTGTGACTAAAGTGGAATATTTAAAAAAAAATTAATTTACCCAATCTAAAATTTCTTCATTAATTTACTCGTAATATAACTGGAAAATTCGGCAGCGGTTGCTATTCAGAGACAAATAACACAATCTGGTGAATAAAGCACAACAAAACTAATTTTAAATTTACACAATAAGCAACTACTTTTGCAAAGAGCCTTGAACATGAAGATAAACCATGTTGAAAATGAACTGTGAAAACCGTTATCAAACAAATTTTCTAAAAAATTAACCTGAGTTATGAAATGTCAAATTTGATAAGTTGTTATTTTAAGAAGCGTCCTTACATCACACAACAAACATTTCTTACCTGCTTTAACTACCAATTTTGAGTCTCATTTCACTTGAAAGATTTTCAGTGTTAATAAAAAATTGTGATTGCAACAACTGATTTAAAAAATTATTTGACATATCTTTATCTTGTTTCTTAACAAAACTTCCACTACAAACGTAGTCTGTCCTTGTCTCACAACCCCTCTTTGTTAGACATTAGTTAAAAAATTAGAAGTAGTTTACCAGTTTATTGTTTGCTTTAAAAATGGTTCAATTGTGATTCACCTACTTGGCCATTGTTACCGTTTCGGGGGCGCCACGCATGAATATTATCATTTTATCAGAGACCCTATTTTTTTAATGTTCAAACTCATTAGGGACTGATATACTTCAAGGTCAAGTTAAAAGATGGATGATAGCATGTTTGTTGTCAATGGAGTTTTATACATACTAAATTATGTACGGTGCTGTGATCATTGGACTTTTCGCCACAGCCTATCTGGAGACAGTTCTTGAATAAACAGATCCATAAATTTGGTCCAAGACACCCACAGTCGGCGCAAACGGGTCTCTGGAACACCACAAAACTGAGTAAACTGGCGACATGATGACAGGAGATGTTACCTCTCTCGAACTTAGTATGTTGGCAATTGGAATGTTGGTGGCAGTCGATAAGTGGCTGCAGCTGTATCGGTGCATCTTAACTACAACAAAAACACTGTTTTAGAGTGACAACACGCTGTTGTAAATTTGAAAATCACATGATTAACCGCGAGAGTAAAATTGAAATTCAAATTTCGTGGACGTTTGGGTAACAATGTTTTGGAATAATGGGAAAATAAACACGAATTACATAAACAGGGTACCTACTTCCTGATACTGTGTGAAATCGCGCCTTATCCACATTCAGTCAATTATTATTAAAGAAATCGAGGAAATTTGCTGATCAATGACATAAAACTAGGTTAGGTTCGATAAATTTTCTTTGTTATTTGATTTAATGAAGCGCCCACTTGATTCTAAACAATTTTTATTAAATTATCTGCTATCCAAACACCACTAGCGTAAAAAATATTGGATGCACTGGACGAAAATTTACCTTTTTTCAAACAGGACACATCCACACTTGTCCACAGCAAAAAAATACTATCGAACACGGGAAAATAATAAATGACAAATTAAAATAAAATTATTATTACATGATACTTGTGATTTATTGACAGAAATTCTAATAAGAGTGACACTGACGTTTCACGTTTTTTCTGTCATTTATTTTGTTACTAGAACCGTCAACAGAAGCGCCACCTGCTTGTACCACCAAACCGAAAGTCCCCAGAATCGAATAAAACACCAAAATCCAATTAGAAATTTATTTAAAAATCACAACAACGTTCCTTTTGTTTTTAAATGACTCCTGGCGACACGTTTGCATTCATCTTCGAACGAACTATCGACAAAAATGTGTCTTTGTACTTTAGTTTTAGGCGGCGTTTTTTTCGGAACGGGAACAGCGGGATTAAACGCCATTTCCGACATTTCAAAGTTATTAAATATTTGTTCAGGAGTGCTACAAATAAACACACGAATAAAGCTGCAATTCAGTTAATTAAACCCACCATTTTGCGTATTCCGGATCGAGACTCCCTTCTCCTGATGCAGGAACCCCAAACGCTATATTTTTTGCATATTTTCCAACAACCGGGTGATAATGCTTTGATAACAATACTAATTCGTAAAGAGCGGTGCTCGCAGCGTTTGTATATTCTGGATCATCCAATTCTGGTTGAAATTTACCATCCCCAAAGGACGTGTCCATGTCTAGCAATACATCTATGGACCTATTTAACTGCATGACGTTTTTAATCACACTTAGACTGCCTAAGCTACCATTATGTAACAACTGTAAGCTTAAAGTAGCCAATCGTTTCACGAAACTCAACGTCCTTTTGTTGGTTATTTTTTTACGTCTTTTGATTAAAGCGTCGTTTAAGGTTTTAAGTAAAATGAGAAAATTTGGGTGGTTTTTTGAGGCATGGGTTGTTAGGAGACCTTTATAAAGGTTGGTGTAAAACCGCGTTGGGTCCACATTTATGGCTTCTCCTTGTCCACTTAAAATTGAAAAGACAGTTTGAATGCAATGGAGTTGTTCCTTGTATCCTATCCAGTCTTCCTTCAATAGTTGGTCCAGAATGTTCACAAGGTCTAGATAAAAGTCAATGTTTATGCAATGGGCGAATCTGCAAACTTTGTATTAATATCAAGTAGTTAAATTTCTGGTACTGACTTTGCTAAACCCTCTAAAGTCACCCCTAATACTTTAGTGTTTGTTGAATTTTTTAAAATTCTGAAATATATTCCAAACACTATTTTTGTTATTTCTGTCAAGTTGTGTTGTTTGGTGTTTTTGTTTTCTTCTGCTTTAGTTTCCAGGAGCTCTTTTTCAAGTAATTGTAATTTTTTCTTCCTCTGTGAAAGTAATATTATTGTAAAGTAAATTCCACTTGTAACTTACTTTTTTTTCTTTCTTGGACATCTGCAAAACCTTCTGTTTTCTGGCCATCAATTTTTTCTGTTTAATATCTTGTTCTTTTTCACCATCTAAATTAACATCTCTTAAATTGAGAACGAGAAGCGTTTCCAACATGTCAGGATTGACGTTATGAGCGTGATTTTTAAGGTAGTTGTTAATTATTCTCAATATCTAAAAATTAAATTTGACTTTTGGAATATTTGGTAAATAATATACCTGTAAAGTAATTTCTTCCTTTTTGTCTTCCTTGAATACAACTTTAATTGCATTTTTTGCAATTTCTCTTACATTACTTCTGGGGTTATTTAAAAAAGGGACAACAGCTTGTGCAATATTCTGGGCATAGTTGAAATAAGGGTGTGTCACTAATAAATCAGCTAGAGCTTGAACTGATAGTTCCCCTAATTTAATTTGTTCCTAAAATTTGACTTGGAATTAATATTTAGCTTTAGTTATAGTGACACATTACATCCTTGAAGGTCCTACTGTCTCCTTTCTTCTTTACTAGAATTAAACTACTCTTTTCTAGCCTTTGTAAAAACTTCTTATAATATAGAACCAAACTTTCTTCATATTTCTGTAGTTTAAGGGTGTCTTTTTTCACTAGAAACAAAAAATGAATGTTAGTGATAGTAATTTTCAAAAAATAGAGCTTACATTTCACTCCTTCTTGACTGGGTGTCTTTTTAATCTCATATGATGGTAGAACATCCTTAAATACTTCCAACAACGAAACTGTGGCCAATTTTCTCACTGTAAAATAAACTTCAGGGGTTTCTTCATCCATCAATTTCAACAAAGTCCTCAAATTTGTAACTTTTTCTTCGGGGTTTTCCAACACTCCTGCACTCAAAGTACCAATATGAATCTTTCTTTCCTTCAGAATCCTGTGTCTTTCAGTTAATAGTTGTGTGGCTGAGATGGGTTTAGAAATATCAATTTTGTTGTCAACAAAATCAAACTCTTCTTGTTTTTCTTCAACTTCCTCTTCCTCTTCCTCTTCAGATTCAGACTTTGTCACTGCAGAAAAATGTTAATTATTGTTGCTTTTTTTAATTCCGTGTCCTACCAGATTCGTCTACAATTTGTTGCCGCACAATCCCGGTTTTCGTTTTAATTGGCAGCAAGTTTTTCATTGGAACATCTTCGACTGTTTGTTCTTCATAGTCTTTCTCTAAATCTGATTCTTCGTCGCTGACTTTGCGTCTTTTGGCTTTGGGGCCAGATGATCTTAAAAATTGCTAATGAAAGAGATGAAATTACGGCGTATTAAAACCTACTCCGTGTATTTCACTTTGTTGAAAATGTTGTACGATTTTGAGGTGATGGCGTTTTTAATAAAATCCAGGTCGTCTTCTTCGACCATTTCCAGCATGTCTTCGCCATAATCGCTGTCGTTTTCTTCTTCGCTTTCAGAATGAGGCGGCTTTTTACCCATTTTTGTGAACTTTCAAATTCAACACGTTTTCTAACCTTAAAAATTTGTTTTCATGTGGGGAGAAGTGTCAGAAGTCGAGAGCGTCGAGAGTGGGAAGTGGCTACAGCTCCAACTCCAAGGCAGGTTCCTTTCAATTTTTAAAATACAAAAAGATAATGTATGAAATTTTGGAAGCACAGTTATTTCATTAGTACTTTATGATGCATTTATAACTACATCAGTGTTACATTAACCTGAGCTGAACTGAACTGACCTGGTCTGACCTGACCTGACTTAATTACATTTATTTATGAATATTGTACATTGTAGCTCTTGACTAGACGCTATTTTGTGGACTTTATTTTAATCAAAATTTTATAACATAATTCAGTGAAAATTCGTGTTACTCTATTAAGGAAATTACTTTTCCAAAAAAAAGTTAGAACAAGTAGTGTTATTTGGATAGAAAATTGGTCTTTACTTTGGTGAAACTGGAAATGTTGTAAGAATTTTAGAAATTCTTTACGTACCTATAGCGTTTGTCTTGTGTGCAGGTAGTAGTTTTGAAAATGCTTTGACGAACCACGCTCTTCATACCACATTATAAGAAATATCTGTACCTGTATTTCTTTTATTTCTGTCGTTTTATACTGTGTAGACTCTAATAATAAGATTATTATCTATTTTTTTTTTAGATATTAGATTTTTTTTTACAAATTTTATAAAATAAAATGCTGGCTTATTAACTCGCTTTTGGTTTTTTGTCTGCAACATTAAAATTTTTGGAAAATAAGTCAAAATTTTATAAAAAAGAAAAGGAAATCTATTTTAGACAATGCAAAACCAACTTATGTGAAATCTGCAAACGCTTTAAAATTTTAGAAAGATCAAATTTTGTCTGTTTACTCCTTATTCCAAAAACTTTATGACGTCTTCTTAGTTCTAATTAAATTAATTTTTTCTACTATAAATCACGTACCATGGTATAAAGTACCAGGTGACTATTAATGAATGAAACACATTTTTGTGTTGGCAATTCTGAAATATTGGTAGCCATGCCAGTATGTCAATTTACAATTGTCAATTTCGAAATGAGCGGATGATCAGGCCTAATAATCGTATTGATTGGTTGAGATGATGGATGGCATCTACTGACTTGGTGTCATAAATGTCAATTTGACAATTCGAAATGTCAAATTATGTCGTAAAATTCAGAATATGTTGCCAACCTAACAATAAAAGTCAGAAACATTAATAGTCATTCGTTTCTAGGGGCTATAGTCATTCGGTATGACGTCATCACGAAATTTTACAATGTGATCCTTAGCCGGAAGTTTAATAATCTAATACTTACTGTTTTTATTTTAACTTGTGTAAAAGTTATCGTAAAAAACTGGATTTGATTACCATAGCGTACAAAATACAGAGTGAAAATAAATGTTTTTGATTTTTTTTGGCAGGTTGGCAACAATTTAAAATTTTATGATGGTATACCTGATGTCTCAAATTCTGTTTTTAGAGGCGCTCATGTCAAAATTGACAACTGTGAATTGACATGTTAACAATGTTGCCAGTAATTCAGAATTGCCAACCCAAAAATTTGCTTCTATCATTAATAGTAAAGTCGACGCACAATGAAAAAAACGACTTGGCAGTTGACCTTCTTAAATTTTCACAGTGTAACTGTAGATTTTGAATTGTAAACGTGGATTTTAGTAATTTTTTTGGTAACTATTCTATCACTTGATATTCTGACATAACAAATTAAGTGACGTTAAGTGTTAACTTTGATGTTCAACTTTTGCCGTATTTAAAGAGGTTGTAGAAGAAAAGAGGAGGATTTAAGTTGATTACTACAAAAATTTCCATTTTAGACATGTTTTAAGTTTTTTGTTGTCGAAATAAATATGTCTACACATATTAAGCAAAAAAGGCAAAATGTAGCCCCGCCCACCCACCCTATCTCAATTGTGATGATTCTTTTATTATTCGTCGTGAGCCAAGAAGGAGGAGCTTAACTGCAAAATCCCTATTTGTTTAGGAGAAATTAAAAACTTGTTTTTGAGTATCTATGTAAAGTGTGTTAAGAAAAAATTAAAGACAAAGATTAGGTACCACCCATACCCACTACGACCTCAATTCTCAATTGTGCTGAATTTTTCATTCGTTGTCAGATCGAGGGGCGGAGCTTAATTGCAAGATCCATATTCGTCTACAAGAATGTACCATTTTAAACTGTTCTGAAAAGACGACTACGTATATTAAGCCAAAAGGTAAAATATAAGCCCCGCCCACCCACCCTATCTCAATTGTGATGATTTTTTTCAATCATCGAGAGACAAAGGAGCGGAATTTAACTGCAAAATCGTTATTATTTCTCTACAAAAAATTACCACGTAAGACATACTTTTGAGTATCATGTTATTCAAAGAATACAATGTAATATTAAGAAAAAATTGAAGCCAAAGATTAAGCCCCACCCATACCTGCCCTGATCTAAATAGTAATGAAGTTTATATTTTGCCTTTTTTTCTTAATATATGCAGTAGTCTTTGAACAACATGATAAAACATGTTTTTAATTTCTTGTCAAGAAATAAGTATTTTGCAGTTAAGCTCCGCCCCCTTGGTTCACGGCGAATAAAAAAATCATCACAATTGAGATAGGGCGGGTGGGCGGGCTTACATTTTGCCTTTTTGTTTTAATATGTGTAGACTTCTTTTCACAACATGAAACTTACAACATGTTTAAAATGGAAAATTAGTATCCATATTTCTTTGCAAGTTTCTTGTTGTGAAAAGATGGCTGCGTATATTAAGAAAAAGAAGGCAAAATATAAGCTCCGCCCACCCGCCATATCTCAATTCGGATGATTTTTTTATTACTTCGTAAGCCGAGGGGCGGAGCTTAATTGTAAAATCCTTATTTTTATACGAGAAATTACCATGTGGAATATGTTCTTAGGCTTAAGTAATGGTGTCATACTTACAAAGAAAACTAAAATGTATAAATTAAAAAAGTAAATACCAAAAGAGAAGCCCCACCTATCCGTCTCGATCTCAATCCTGATGAATTTTTTATTCGTTGTCAGACCGAGGGGCGGAGCGTAATTGCAAAATCGATATTTCCCTATACAAATTTACCATTTTAAACATGTTTTAAGTTTCTTGTTGTGAAAAGATGACTACACATATTAAGAAAAAAAAGCAAAATGTAAGCCTTGCCCAGCCGCGCTGTCTTAATTATTGTGATGATTTTTTTAATCGTCGTGAGCTTATCTTAGCAAGTACTAGCCCCGCCCACCCTCCCTCTTCTCGTTCTAACAACTGATTTAATTTCTGTTCATTATAGGATCATTCATTTTATTCAGTTCGAATAAAATGAATCACTGAAAAGGAGACAGGGTGGGTGGGCGGGGCTAATTACGTTCTTTTGTCGAGTGGGAATGAAAACTAATAATAGAATCTAGGACGTGAAAAAAGTAAAAATAAGAAGTGCTAATTGTAACTTTTTTTGTTATATGTACTATTTGCTACAAAATTTATTTCTTATTTCATTCACCTGACCTGACTTGGCCTGATTTCTCTAGTCTCAAATAAACGAATTTTAAACATTTCTGTGAATATATAAAAACCATAAAGTACATTCGTAAAATAACTGTATTTTGTGAAACAAAAATTAATAATGATTTCGTTTTTGTCTACGTACAAAATTTTTATACCGAAATATTTTGTCGAAACTGTAAAAACTGCTATACTTCAGTCAGCGATTTTGGAAACACGGTAAGAATTTCCGAAGAAACGAAGCCGAAAATAACTTGTGTATATCGAAATCTACAAGATTTAGTTGATATAGTTGAAAAATGGTCGAAAATGTCAAAAGTGTCAAAGTCAGTCTTATCTTAACAAATACTAGTACTTACTCAGATAAGACCGATTTTGGCAAATGCCATACCCTCTGAGAAAATAGAGGGCGGGTGGGCGGGGCTAGTACTTGCTAAGATAAGACTGATTTGGCAAATGCCATGCCCTCTGAGAAAATAATTCCAATTATTCTATTCAGTTTTAAATTTTTTCTAAAAATTCTGGATGTCTAGGGTGAAAATTCGACACGGATTGACACACCACGAATACAAGGGTATCTTATTTTATAAAATTAAAAAAACTTTTAATTATAAATTTTGGAGATGACGTCATCAAATTGTTGGTGGGGATAATTAGCCGAATTTTGGTTAGTGAGCTTAACTGTAAAATCCTTATTTCTCTAAAAACATGTTTTTGAGTATCGTGTTGTTCAAAGAATACTATGTATATTAAGAAAAATACAAGCCAAAAATTAAGCCCCTCCCATATCCAACCCAAGCTCAATTGTGATGAATTTTTCATTTGTTGTCAGACCGAGGGCAGAGCCTATTGCAAAATCGATACTTTCCTACAAAAATTTACCTTAAGGCAGATTCATAAACCACAAATACAGGAGTATGCTATTTTATAAAATTTAATTATCATTTACCATGAAAAAAACCTTAAGGAGACGTCATTAAATCGTGCTATTTACATATTCCTAACGTACTTCTAAAGCAGTGGTTCCCAAACTTTTTAAATTAGCGACCTTTGTTGGATTTCCTTGAAATGTCTGCGACCATCTATTTATTTTTATTAACAGTAAGAATTAAAGAAACAAAGCGTTTAAAAAAATTATTTGAGAAATATTTAACAAAAATATGTACATGTAACTGATTGGTTGATTAAAATTTAAAGCGGCATTTGTGTAGATTTTTAACAAAAAATTAATGATCCAGAAAAAATTAAATTTATCATATAGGGTTAAGACAAACCGTTTTGTCAATTAATCACTTTTATTTGAAAACGTCCTGAACGGTTTATACACAAAAACTAAAAAATGCAATGACAGATTTCCAACCAGAAGGGGTTACATTTCTTGCGAAACACTCTGTATAATAAATAGAGAGCGGATTTCTAGGTTTAATGCTTTTTGTGAAAAATGTAAGCACTTCAAAACTTTTTTATATCTGTAGTTATGATACAATTTGGAGTCGTTTGACACATTTTTTTTTTATGCTTATTTGCTTTTTTTTCAATTT